TCTTCTTCTTCTTCTTCTTCTTCTTCTTCTTCTTCTTCTTCTTCTTCTTCTTCTTCTTCTTCTTCTTCTTCTTCATTTCTTAATTAAGTTTATTAGGGTAACACTGTTTAATACAATTATATAATTTTCAGGTGTACATTACAATTTGACATCTATATATTTTATTATGTGTTTACCATCCAAAGTCCAATTTCCTTCAGCTACCATATATTTGATGCCCTTTACCCATTTCACCCTCCCCCTACCCGCCTATATTTGACCCCCTCTACCCATCTACCTCTCCCCTCCTCCCCCACCCCCTACCCTCTGGTAACCACTTGTCCATTGTCCATGTCCCTGAGTCTCTGTTTGTTTGTCCTGTTCCTTTGTTGCTTTTAGGTTTCTATCCCACATATAAGTGATATCATGTGATTTTCAACTTTTTCTGTCTGGCTTATTTTGCTTAGCATGAATATCTCGAGTTCCATCCATGTTGTCACAAATGGCTGTATTTCATCTCTTCTTATGGCTGAGTAATATTTCATTGTATATATATACCACAACTTCTTTAGCCAATCATATATCGTAGGACACTTTGGTTGCTTCCATGTCCTGGCCACTGTGAATAATGCTGCTATGAACATCGGTGTGCAAATATCTTTTCGGATATGGGTTTTCAAGTCTTTGGGGTAAATACCCAGTAGAGGGATTGCTGGATCATATGATAGATCAATTCTTAGTTTTTTGAGGAACCTCCATGCCGTTGAAAATTTCTTTATGGTATCATTTAACTTCTTCTTTCTCCTATATTTACCAAAAACTGGAATTGCATATAAATGTTTGATTATACACAGATTAAATATTTGGTCAAAAATTTGCCATAGGTGGTGCTGTGTGTTTCATATGACATCAGAAAGTATATACTATCTAGGTGTCTCACTATTACTGATGCTAAGACTGATCAGGGTCAGATTTTGGCTACCTCAATCAAGAGAGTTATTTTTTTTAAGCTATGAGAAATAATATCATGTTTATATGCTGATGGGCATGATCTTTGAGAGAGAGATACATACTGATGCAGAAGAAAAAAGAGAGATTTTCCAGAAGAATGTCCTTAAGTAGACAAGAATATGTAGGATCTAATGGACAGACGTTGGATATTTCAAGTGCTGGATGCAGCTGATTCATCCCTAGTAACAGATTATTTGGGCATAAATATAGGTAAGATGGATATATGGGTACAAAGGCATGTGTGTAGAAGTTCTATTCTGGTAGCTTTTTTTGTCTCCATAAATAAGTAGCAAGTTCATTACGGGAGGTTGAGGAAGAGGGAAGTTTTCGGGGGCGGGGGGAAGGGGAGGCGGGGAGTCAGATAGTCCCCTAGGAGAATCGCAGATGAATTAATTGGAAAAGTAGTATATGATTGCTGAGATGTATTAATGAGCTACTTGCAGTTAGTAACCATGAACTTGTGAAATCAGTAAACATTGCTGTGTGATTTTTCTCTAGATACATGCTTGCAGGTGTGGAATGGGACGAGTTGGTTTAACCAGGATTGGGATTTATCTAACCATGTGTGATGAGAGAGGTCAATTTAACTATTGACTACACAATTTAAGCTGGGAAGGAAGGGAAGGGAGGATATAAAGGAAGGGAGACAGTGAGAAGGTGGAAGAATCAACCACAGAAGATTGTTAGAGTTGGGTACTAGTTGTCTCAACTGCAAAGACAAGAGTGGTGATTAGAGAGGATATGACTGGAATCAAGACTTTGGAGTGGGTATATTTTTGAACATGACAAGATCAGAGATATGACCTTGGGAGTTAGCGGCTAAGGTCACAATCCTTGGAGGAGAAGAGATCAAAGAACTGAGAGGAAATCAAAGAACTGAGAACTAGAGTGTTTCTGTAGGTAGACGTTAATGTCACCAGGAGTTATGACAGAAATAGTGTTGGAGAGAATTATAGTGAGCCAGAAGCTAAAACATTTAAGGACCTAGGTGGAAGTGAAGAGCATGGCTAGATGTGAGGGTCCAGAAATAAATTTTAAAGGAGCTCTCAGTCTAATTGGGCAGACCTATAAACGTCACGTAGGCTGGTGAGAGTCAGAAGAGTCAGAGTAGAGTTGTGTCAATCTCTGTGGGGTCAAGAAAGGCTTCAGAGTCCAGGTGATACTTGCGCTGGTGTGGGAGATTGAGTGGGTGTGCTCTCATATGAACAGGGTAGGAAAGGACATTTCACACCAAAGGAACTTTACATGCAGGGCTACAAAGGCATGAAAGAGCATGGGACATGTGGAGTGCAACAGTTGAGTCACTCTGGGTAAATTACTCATCTTCCATTTCTCAGTTTCCTCATTTGTAAAATGGGAATAGTAATGGTATCCACAGAGTAGAGGTTGGTGAGAAGTGATGTATATTTGTCACAGGTCCTATTGCAGTCCTTTTGGGCATATTCTTCCTTGATTATTTAAATAATACTATGAGTTAGGCTCAGTTTTTATTAGCTACATTTTACAGATAAAGAAACAGTGTTAGAAAGTTGAGTAACTGACCCAAGGTCATGTAACCGGTGAGAGGCAAAGTTTGAATTCTAGCTCAGATCACTCTAAAAGTAGAGCTCTTAATCTTAATTTCTAAGCTATAGTCAGTGCTTAGCACTTAGCTAGTACTAAATAAATGGTAGCTTTTACTGTTATGATTGCTCAGTCTCTCACCCGGAAAGTTGAAGATTCTGTTACCACTTCTGTAGCAGTGGTATCTCATGAGCAGCAGTGACTATTTTGGAAGGCTCTCATCACCTACAATAGATGATGAGACTGACAGTTGCACTGCTTTTGTTTTAACTGGTTGATCTTTGGAAACCAAGAGAGAGGAGTGATGTTTATCTTCTTAGAGGGCCACTTGTTCTAAGCAGATGCAGTTGATGTGAAGATCTGGGTTTGCTACACTCCTCTGATGTCTGTGCGCTGAACCTAGACAAAAGTTTCATGTCCCAGCAGCTCACACATTGAGGGAATGGCAGCAAACCAGCATTCACAAACAAGAGGCATCATTCAAAGGGCAGGAGACTGCCTAGAAAGAACCTTTTCCATCAATGATACCTGCCAAAGGGCAGGAGACTGCCCACAGTGTTCCCTGGGAAGCTGCCTAGAAAGAACCTTTTCCATCAATGATACCTGAGGAAGCATAGACCTCTTAAAAGCTGGCAACCCCTCCTCATTCATTCATTCATTCAGCAAATTGTTATTGAGTGCCTACTATGTGCCAAACACTCATTTGGGCATGGATGATAATAGCGAAGAAGGCTGATGAGGTTCTTACTTTTGGAATTTACATTTTTAGTAGAAGGAGACAGAAGGTAACCAGATAATAATATGAATGCAAGCATAGTTACAAACTCTCGTGCCACAAAGAATCTCCTCATTCATTCATTCAGCAAATTGTTATTGAGTGCCTACTATGTGCCAAACACTCATTTGGGCATGGATGATAATAGCGAAGAAGGCTGATGAGGTTCTTACTTTTGGAATTTACATTTTTAGTAGAAGGAGACAGAAGGTAACCAGATAATAATATGAATGCAAGCATAGTTACAAACTCTCGTGCCACAAAGAAAACTTACGTGACATGAAAAGAGGAACAGCTATCAGAGACATTTTCTGACTCTACCAGAAGGCCGCCAGGAGCCAGTTCTCTGAATTCATAAGGGAAATCTTGAATTTTTTGACAAAGGACAGGACAGAATGGCACCTCTCACTTTTGCCCCGTCAAGCATGCCCACAGCCTGCCTGCATTCCTCCTGGTTATGAAAAACTGGGATTCCCCCAGCTTGAACCCCAGGCCTTCAAGGGAAGATTTCTTCCTAGTTCATGAGATGAAGCCAGTTTATAACCACGGAGGCTTCCTCTTAGTTCTGTTAATGCTGCATGTCCTAGGATAGGCTTCGAGGCTAGTCCAATGTTGTATATCAAGTTGATACACAAGGTTAAAGTATATTTTCAATATTGTTCCCAATAGTTTTGCCTTAATTACTCAATTAACATTATAAGAATAATAAAGGAAGTCAAACTGAAAGATGAGACTTCATCTCTTAACAGTTTGCTCAACAGTTGTCATGTCTCAACCATGTACAGTTTTTCTCTATATTTGGATGTGCATAACTTTTACTCACAATGATAACATTTTCTGTTTCACCTTTTTGTTTTTGTTAAGCATTTTCTTTCCTGTTGCTACTTAAATTCACACACAATTATACATTCTATAAGGTGGATGCAATACCATTTAATTATTTTCCTGTTGATGAAAACTTAGCTGTTAACTTTAGGTTTTTTGCCATTATAAATTATTTTGAAATTGAAAACAATTTTTCTTTTTGCACATGCATATTGCTTTATAAAACTCATTCTTTATCTCATTAATCCTCTTTCAGTCCTCACTACAACTGTATAAAGTAGGGAGTTATTTTACATGTGAAGAAACTGAAATGTATACTCTTTGTCCTTTGAATTATTTGTTTAGTTTTATTTTGTGGAAGTATGATAACTTGGTTAATAGTCATGAGCTCTTAATTTTATGGCCTGATAACTTTCCAGAAGGGTTAAATTCATTTTTATTGCTTCCTCAAAATATATCAATTTCATTACCATCTGTCCAGCAGTGAGTATTATCATTTTGAAAATGATAATGAAAATGGCTAATGTAAATTCTATATACCTTATATATCTTAATATTCCAGTTGCCTCTTTTGAGTTTCTCTAAAGATTAATCATAACTTAATAAGTTTGTTAATTGTATTTTCTATTTTGTGATTTGTCTGTTCATGTTGATTGCCTGTTTATTTTGAGAGGCTTTTACTGTATTAACCCTTTGTATACCTCGACTCTTGTTTTCCTTTTTTATTACAGCATTTTTTATTGCATAGAAGTTGGAATTTTCGTGCACTGGCTCTATTAAACTTTTCCTTGTTATTTTTCTACATTCCATCAGAAAGAAGAGCTGACAAATAGAGAATTATGATTTTATCTTTTAAAAATTATATTTTTATTATATTTTTCCAAGTCCAAGAGTAATGCATGTACAATTTAGAAATTTTAGAATACACAAAAAATTACAAAAAGTGAAAACACTCTACCAACCAGGGTGTATTTTTTTTAATCCTTTCTCTTCCTCACATACACATTTTAAAAAAATGGTTTTTTTTTTGTATTTAGATAGTATATTATATATAGTTTATAGCCTACTTTTTTCAGTCATCATACTGATTATTTAATCATTAAATATTTTTTGATAATAAATAATTTTTTAGAAATCTGTGTAGATTATTTTGGGATGAACTGACTCCTCTCTCCCTCTAATTGCTGTTTGTATATCCCTAACCTGTGACTAAACAATTCTTTCTTCCCAGATTGATGTGTGATACCTACTTTATCTTTCTAATCTTATCTAGTATCTTATCTTTATCTTTCTTATCTTATCTAGTATCAATCTATTTCTAGGCTGGTTGTGCTTTTGGTGGCTGAGTCACTGCACTTGTAATAGTCTCTTGTCTCTCTTCATCTGAGCTCTCGGGCTTCCTGGATTGAGCCATAGCCTGGGCCAGGGCCCACAGTGGAGACTAGCAGAGGTGCCTTTCTATCTTGTTAATTTTTAACGTTGCCCCTGTAGGAAAACAGCTCATAAGTCCTCTGTTATTGTCTTCCTTTGCAGATGTTTTTTCATCATCCTGAGAAAGATGAGCCCTGGCCTCCAGACCCAATAAAGCAAAGATCCTCCCATGGAGAATAGTGCTGGATCCTGAGGACCTAGAGGGCCTGTAGCCCCAGGTGGATTAGCCAGAAGCAGGTAGGAAACACCTGGAGGTGTGGGCTCTGGAGGCAGCAAAGGGGTATATTCCTAAGTTAAAAATGGCGTGGTGGCATGTGCTGGCAAGGAGTCACTGGGTCTCGATGTCTGGCTGTAGCTTTGCTGTTTCCTTTGTGGACTTTTTAAAGTTCATTCAGTGAGGGCTGGGGATAGGTGGTTTGCCAATTTCTATACACTGTCAATGTCAGATTTGAAGTTACTTTGTAAATCAGTCCACCTTTTCGAGCCCCACTATGTGCCAAGCCCTGCATTTGCTGTGCTGGCAAGGAGTCACTGGGTCTCAATGTCTGGCTGTAGCTTTGCTGTTTCCTTTGTGGACTTTTTAAAGTTCATTCAGTGAGGGCTGGGGATAGGTGGTTTGCCAATTTCTATACACTGTCAATGTCAGATTTGAAGTTACTTTGTAAATCAGTCCACCTTTTCGAGCCCCACTATGTGCCAAGCCCTGCATTTGGGGCTGCACATGTAGTGATGAGTAGACCGAGATGGGAGCCTTACTTTGGCTGGTATTTTCTTTCTGTGGATTCAGTGTTGACTTGTTCTCTTCAGGTGATAATGTGAGTTGTTATCGTATTCTTCTAGAAGTCTGGTGCAGTGGAAGGATTCATTGATACAGTCCCATTCGTTTAATAATCCTTTATTGAATGCTCGCTTTTTTCTAGGCACTGTGCTGGGCACTGGGGTTTCAGAAATAAGCCAGGAGGAGTTTCTATTTGGCAAGGGTCAGTGTGAAAAGCGAACATTGCCAAACACTGAGTGTGAACAGCACGAGCAAGAATAGTGCTGAAGAGAGGTGGGCTCCAGAGGTGGTCAGAAGCAGAAAGATCATGCTGTCTGATTGCCAGGCAAGTGGACTGAGGGAGAGATTGCAACAGTGCAAAAGCCTAGAAGCTTAAGAAGTCAGTCCAGGGTGCGATGAGAACATTCAAAGCTTGGTGTGTTTTCCCAAAAATTTGGAGAGGAAAATTTGCTAGTCCTTTCTTTCAGTTTGGGCTGCTTAGATGAAACTTCTTCAGTCCCTTTCTCTTTAGAGCAGCTTCAAGACCCTTTCATGAAGCTCTAAGTGCCTATGACCAGAAGCTCCAGCCAGCTGGTGGACTTGGGGCATCATTAGAGGGTGATGTCCAAGAGAGTCAGAGGCCCTGATGTGAGGATTCAGATGAGTGTCCCGAGGTTGCGATGGGGCCCAGGGCCTTAGGCTGAGGCTATCTTAAAGTTTCAGGACTGTGTTGTGCCTGGCTGTTAGGCTGAGCTCTTCTTCCCTGGGAAACTCAATCTTGGAAAGCACCAGCTCCTTCTGAGCCTCAGCTCTTTAGACAATGAATCAGGTCTCACCTCCCTACCTCCTATTTCATTTCACTCATCCACATACAAGTTAAGTCCCAGTTCCATCGTTTCCAAATCGCTGATGCAACTTTGAAAACGATTAACATTTATAAAACCTGAGTTTTTTCAGCTATAAGTGTAGGTAATAAAATTTGCCCTACTTATTTCACAGGCTTATACTGGGTCTCATAAATGAGTGGTAAACCGCCCCCTAGGTAATGGCTGCTGTGGCTCTCATGGTGAGTGAGGTGGTCCTTCTGTGACTGTCTGGTGACTGAGCTGTCTCTCTATTGACTATGATTTCTGAGTCCTGTTTGGTCAACACTGACGTTTTACTGTTCTTTATCACAGATGCCTGTCCTTTTAGTGAAAAGACCATGAACTTTGAGAGTCAGAGAGACCTGAGTTGGAATACTGATTCCAGCACTGATTAGCTATTGACTTTGGAGAAGCCCTGTAACCCTACTAAAGCCAATTTCTTCATTTCCTCAAACGGGGGTATTTATCCCATATCTATCCAATAATATCTATCCCATAGTGTTTTAGTAAAAATTAAATGAGATATTGTTAGTAAAGTATCTACATATATAGTATATAGCACCTCCTGTGCCCTTACATTTACCTCATTCAAGGCCTGATAACACCATCCCGTTTGGTCCTCCTATCACTCTGTGAATTAGGTAAGGAAGAGATGATTACTCTGCAGAAACTTAGGTACAGAGAGGTTAAAAGGCTTGCCTAAAGTCACCAAAAATGGGGATGAGAACCCAGGTTTCATGAATACCCTGTCCAGTACTCTTATCACCATTTACCTGATATCTATAGGAGCGGGCTCCATGGGAGGGGACTGTAGACTCCCAATGGGGTGATTGCTTAGACTCATTACAGCAAATAAACCCAGTTATTTAGGAAATAATTTCATGTTTTTTAAAAAATACAGACATTGTTTGAATTCAAACTGCTTTCATTTCCCATTCAGGTACACAATACATTCTGGGAAAAAGAAATAGATCTTTACCCTGACATAAGGGGAACTATTCAGGCTCTGTTTGCTTTGTAAAATTTATTTGCCAGAACTTTCAACACTTCTGTACAGGATGCAGTAAGAAAGACATGGACTATGGAATTTAGTGCACTTGGACTGGAACCTCAATGATATCATTTACTCAGCTCAGAACTTCTTTTAACTACTCAGAGCCTCACGTGTCTAGTCTATAAAATGGAGATTATAAATGGCTAGTGATGGTCAGGGCATTTCTGCACAGCCCAGGAGACACCCTTTATATTAGACTGTCATATACATGGTACTTGCTGTACAGCACAGCGCCCTGGTTTATGGTGACATTAAATGAAATAAATATCTGTGTGCTTAAGGTATCTTTGTTTTCATTTCCTGAATTGGTCACTTGTCTAATATCTTATCAAGATTTGCTATCCTTGACTGTAAAATAACTCATCTTCCTGTTGCTTGATAGCACTCTTACATAAAACTCCATAAAACTAAATGTTATGTTGTGAAACTCACCCTTGCTCTTTTTCTCACGTAGGAGTCCGATACCACAGCCTTAGAGAGATGCATCACAAAGCTATGGCATTGTCTATGGCGAGAGGTCTCTTTCTGGCAACTTTAAAAGGATACTGGGCCCCTTAGGATTTTAGCGAGTTTTGCGGGGTGGGGGGGTCTTAGGAGGTAGACCAGTTAGCCTGCTTTTCCTTTTCTTCTAGTTTTTCAAACATACTTGCCTTCATTTAACAGATAGGTCCTAGGAACTGAATTATGTGTGAGATGTGATGCCTGATCTCAAAAAACTCAGAGTGCAGTTGAGCTAGACCAAGACAAGAGGAAACTAAGATTCAGAGTATAAAAAGGAATAGTGGGGAACACAGAGAAGAAGAGAGTGTCTGAGGACAGCTTTCTATGTTCAAAGCCCAAACTAAGGGTGATTTTTTTTTTTTTTTAAAGAGGTGCAGAACTGTGAATGGTAGACTTGAACTGGAGATCAAATCTCATCACTTTAAACCCATTGCTCCGCCCATCACCCTGCCTCTTCCCAATTATACTTGCATATTTTCTTTATATCATTTTTTGCCTGTCTTACTTTTTTTTAGGCTTGTTTTTCTGCTCAGAACAGAGTGGCTTCCTTGAATGAATCTTTCATTATGATTCACACCAACCTGAAAAAAAAATTCAGCTGCTGCGTGTTAGCCTTTCTCCTGTTTGCAGTCATTTGTATATGGAAGGAAAAGAAGAAAGGGAGTTACTACAATACCCTTAAATTGGAAACCAAGGTGGTGAGGAGTTTGGAAAAACTGTCCATAGGGTTTGGTTCCCAGCCTGCACCTTCAAGCAGAACCCAGGATCTGCACAGGAATAGCCAGGCCCTCAGCAGTCCCAAGGAACGAGTCAAGACCAAGCTGGAACCCTTCTTCCAGGTGTGGAACAAGGACAGCTCTTCCAAAAACCTTATCCCCAGGCTGAAGAAGATCTGGAAGAATTATCTGAGCATGAACAAGTACAAAGTGTCCTACAAGGGACCAGGGCCTGGTGTCAAGTTCAGTGCAGAGGCCCTGCTCTGCCACCTCCGGGACCAAGTAAATGTATCCATGGTAGAGGCCACAGATTTTCCCTTCAACACCTCTGAATGGGAGGGTTACCTGCCCAAGGAGAAAATTAGGACCAAGGCTGGGCCATGGGGCAGGTGTGCCGTTGTCTCGTCAGCAGGATCTCTGAAGTCCTCTCAACTGGGCCAAGAAATAGGTGGGTTCTGGGGTGTTAAGATTATTATCTGAACCAAAAAATCATTTGGAGGCTGGGCATACAGGCAGCACTAGAGACTGTGGAATATCTCTGTGGACTAGCAGAGCAGGCCCAGGTCAGTGTTTTTCGATTGTGAGCCAGAGGTGCCATGAGGCCAGCTAAAAGGGTAGGGATCCGGTCTCCCAGGATCTTTATCAATTAGAATAGCTTTATTTTTATTTGTTTTAAATATTGGTATTCTACTGAAGATTTCATTTGAAAAGTTCTACTGATACAAATCAGCAAAACACTGTAATTGACATTGAAACATAAAGCACAGATCTCTATTGTACCTTCAGTTCCTGAAATTCGCAAGTTACCTCTTCTGACCTCAGCTACCTGGGTAATTTTCAGCTTTCCTGTTTGAAAATAATGAATTAGAACAGAAATTCTGAATATCAGTACTGTGAACCACCTTCAGGAGTTCATGAATTCCTAAAATTGCATGCTGAAATATCTGTGATTAGGTGTGTATGATGTGTGTATGTGTGTAAGTCAGTGCATTTTTTCAGAGTGAAAGTCCATAGCTTTCAGTTGATTCTCAGAGGGGTTCGTGACCCAAAAAGGTTAAAAAAATCACTGGTCGGAATGTATCAACTTGGTTTTCTTGAAATCCTTTATAGTTAATAAGGATAGAAATCCTATCCGTTCTTTTAAACATGGGTACAGCACAGAATTACAGGTTTGCTTAATACTCTTTACTGCTCCTATTTTGAGAGAATGTATTTTCCATTATTATGAAATGAATCAGCCTAAAGAAAGCAAAATACAGGAAGCCTTGCTCTCTGTCAGGCTCTGGAAGGTACTGGAGCAGGTGAGGTCATATGTCTCCTTTTTTTATTTCTTGCATATGACTGCCAGGAAAAATAGTCTGAAACCAAGCACAGGCTCTCAAAAGTAGAAAAGTAGAATCAGATTTGAATCTCTAGACCAGAAAGAAGTGGTGAGATCACATTTTGTACCTCCTCAAGTAAGCAGCACTTACCAATAAAAGCTGCCAAGATAACCAGCCCCACCTCTCCCTACTTTGGCTTTTTTGGTTTCTTTAGGACTTTGTTTTCTAGAAACTACATGTGAATGGTTTTCGTTCATCCATAATGGAAGTACGTTTCTTTCTTTCTTCTTCCTTTTGTTTACAATGGTAATGTTTAGAATATTCCAGGTGTTAGCTGATTCTCTTCTTCATGTCAAGTTATCATTGTCTGCTTGGCTGGGACTGTGGTATAGTTTAAGGTAGAGCCTGATACTTCTATAAATTGGAACTATAATCTTTATTTTTATGCACTTTATAAAAGTTTAGTGATTTAAGTAAACATTAATTAAAATAATCTTTTTTTCTGTAGACTGCAGTTCTAATTTTAAATATGTATTTTCATGGAAAGACTTTAATCCTAAGATATAACAAAAATTGCACATTAGTCTTCAAATGCTCTACCTTTTATAAGATATTTCCTCTGGGCATTTGGTCTAACAAATATTTTAAGGAATTCCTTCATTTATTCTTTTATTCATTCATGGATTCATCAACAATACTTAACAGGAACGTATAAAGGCTACATATAGTCTTTATATAGACTGTAAAGAGGGAAAGGAAAAGAAAGGCCTTTATTTAAAGACCTGCGAGTATCAGGTAGCACGCTGGGCCCATAGTCTTCCCACTATACCTGCGCTTTGTGCAGCCTATCCTCAACTATTGAACACATCAGATGGTTTCAATTGTTTGCTCTCACCAATAGTGCTGCTGACAAAGTTTTGGTGTAGATAAATGACTACTCTTGCACTTGCAAGGAGAAATATTCTCAGTAATGGGGCTAGAAGAGAAAGTAGATAACTTATGGCTATATCTTTGTCCATTGCAAAATCGTTTCCCAGAGATGTTGGATGATGTACTGTGTCACCAACAGTCCCACAGACCAACCAATGGTAGACTCAGTCACTTTCGATTATTTTTGATACATATTTTGATACATGTAAACTATCTTAGATTTGTTTGAGTTTTCATTTCAGACAATAGCATATTTTTAAATTAGTTGTAATTAATAAAAGTGATGTTTATTTTGTACCTGCTGTGTGCCTAACATGACTTGCTTGCTCTTTTCATCCTCCTAGCATTCCTGGGAGGTAGGTATTATTATTGTTCCTATTTGATGAGCCAAATATTGAGGCTTAAAGAGGTTACACAACTGGTGAACAGCAGACTGAGCCTTCAAACCTGGTCATTGACTCAAAGGTCCCATACTTAGCCTTTCTGCTCTTGTGCCTCATAGTGTTTGTTAAGATGTATCCCTTATCAGGTTAAAAAAAAAATCCCTTGATATTCTTGCTAACTTGCTCTCCTAGAGGAAAGGAGAAGAGCATTCTGAGTTGAGGCAAAAGCAAGGGGCAAAGGCTGCATGGGAAACAGTACAGAGTGGTTTGGCATCATGAATAATCCTGGGATGTGTGTTCTCATGGGGTACAGAGGGCTGACGAATGAGATCAGGAAGGTGGCCAAGGGCTCAGCTCTTAGAGAATGTTGACGGTCACGATAAGAACTTTGGGTTTCATTTTTTTGGCCATGGTGGGCCCTAGAAGGCTTTTGAGCAAGAGTGATGAGATTCTGTGCATTTTGGAGAAATTTATCAGTTCTCTGAGTCCTTCTCTAATGAGACTGCTATATCATCTCTCTTTTATCAGGGACTATAGCCACATCTAGCTGAGATGGCCCAGCACTGTCTGAGCAGAGGTGGTGGTGGTGGAAAAAAACAGGTCTGATTTGAGAACCATCATGAGATAGAGGACACAGAGCTTGGTGTCTAACTGGAAATGACCTTGATTGAGAGTCAGGAGCCAGAATTTCTAGCTTGGGAGCCAGCTATAGCATATCACCCGAGAGCATGCTCTGGAGAGAACAGGTTCTGTCTGGGATACTCTGCATCTGAAGTATTTGCCGATTTCCCTGGATGGATATCTATGCAGTTTGCTTCTAGAGAAGGGTCAGAGTGGCAGATCAGATTTAGTAGTTACTTGTGTTGAGGTGATAGTTGTAGTCCAGAAAAGGGCTGATGAGAAAACCTAGAGAAAAGTTTACATTTAAAGAACAGAGACAAGCAAAAAAATTCAGAAAGGCCAGTGAGAAGGGCTGGAGGAGAACCAGGAGGGGACCATGTGATGAAAGGCAAAGGGGGATGGAGTTTGGGCAAGTGGATCTCTTGGGCAGAGTGAGGACTGAGAAGACACCCTTAGATTGTGGAGGTCAGAAAGATGACTGTTTATGTCAAGGTCCAGCAAACCTTTCTGGTAAAGGGCCAGAGAGTAAATATTTTTGGTTTTGAAACCCTACAGTGTCTCTCACAACTACTCAACTTCTCTGTTTATGATGTAAGAGCAGCCACAGGCAGTAGGAAATTAATGGGCCTGGTCGTGTTCCAGTAAAACTTTTCAGAAACCGAGGACAGGTCAAATTCGGCCTGTGGGCCATAGTTTGGCAACCCTAACCTATATATTTAGTTTTACTAACTAGAATCAGAATGTAGTCTTCCACAAATGATTATATGATTTATTATGCTAATTTGAAAATATAAAAAATGTATGGTTCAAATTGTGATAAAATTTCTTTCATTATAATTTCTAGCGATTTAGAGTTACTATACCTGGAGGCAGTGGATTTTGATGTGTTCACAAATTTACTAATGAGTTGAATCTGTTGAATCTTCTAGGCATGCAGTTGTGTCATGTGCATATATAGTGGTACGTTATTTCTTACTTTCCTAACTTGCGTCTTTTTCTGTTCTCTAATTCTAAGTTAAAGGAGAGCGGGGCCCTGTTTTCTACAACAAGGTTTGTTTGCTGAGATCCTGGCAGCTGTGGGTTTCACCTTGTGATTTCCTTGAGGCCTATTTGAGTTTGAAAGCTTTTAAGCCTTTAACGGCAAAGGGTGGTTTGGTAAACAAGGATCCTATCTCCTTTCTTCATGAGCCCAATTTAGTGGCCTGTTTTAAAACTTTCTTCTATGATTGATTTTTTTTTTTTTCTTAGAATTAAATCCAAACTTTATACCTGGCTTCCACAGCCTGTGTAATCTGGTTCCTGCCAACTTCTTTAACTGCATCTTTTATTCTTCTTCTCACTTGTCTCCAGCTAAGTCTTTACTCTCTCCTTGTGGTCTTGACACTGTTGTGTCCTTTGGCTGAAATATACTTCCCTGGGCCCTTCCCATGCCCAGTCACTCTTTGGGTCTCAGCTCAGAGGCATTCTTTGAATCATCACTCTATCCGAAGGAGATCCTGTAGGGTCTTTGTAACATAGCTCAATTTATTAATCAGAGAGTTTAGAAGGATCTGCATTTCTAGTGTGATTATTATTGATCACTTTCGAAATCAATGACTGATTCTGACAAAATTTGTTGCAATCTGAGTTGTGAAAGATGTACTTAAAACCTTATTTGCAGTTCAGTGTACCTGCCCTGTAAGCTGATAAAGTTTGGACTATGCACATGTCTTGCAACTTTCAAACATTTTTGATAAGATTTTGTCCTAGGATTGAATATAGGGTTGTTTTTGTGAATGAGATGTCTAGATTCTTGAGGTTTAGTACGTATGTTAGAACTGAAACCAAGAGGGAGGCTTTCATCCCTTAATTTTGTGGGTATTCATTCTCCGTTCAGATCATCTTGTATTGAGCCAAATGCCCACCTCCCTCCTCCTCCTTCTTTCTGCTGAAGCCACCTTTGTGGATGAAGAACTACCCAAAATAAACCCACACAGAGAGAAAGAGGTCCACGGAGGACTGGGCCGACCTCCATATCTGTGCAGATTTCAGTGGTGAACCGTAAACTTGCTTGGTCAAGTAAGGTTGGGATAAACTCTCATAGGATCACAGAGGCTTAGGGCTGGGATGGATCTTAAAAGCTATCAGTTCCCTTCCCCATCAAATTGCTGGCCAATATCTACAAGTCTTCTAAACTCTGCTTAAATAGCTGTGAGGATAGGGAGCTAGAACCAGGACGTGAGAAGTTTAAGATGTTCTGTTTGATCTTGGCTGGATTTAGGATATTGTTTCTAACAAAGAGCTTTTTTTATTTTTAAATGAAAAATATGGGGGTTTAGTTTAGCTCTGTGACCTTCTGTCCCATTTCTGCCACCACCAGGTTTGTGACCCTTCCTGGGCTTCAGGTTCCTAAATGGAACAGTTAGGAGGTGGTCTCATGAATCCCTCGCATTTGCTGAGCGCTGCATAATTTTCATAGTTCTATGGGATGCTTTGCACTTGTGGGTTAGAGCAAGCTTATGGGAGTGTCTTCATTTTTCTGACAGGGATAGAAGTATGGCCTACTGGTAATACCAAGACAGTATTTGGTTTTGCTCCTTTTGTAACTGGAATAGCGATTCCACTGGCCCTGTTCACTTTTCTACTATCGCTGGGCATACTGATGTTATTGAATGGATTTTGAGAATGGCGCTATATGAACCTCTTTAGCCCTTATAGAGGCCGGACAGACGGGTGGTTATCTGTCTATAAACTTTACCTGATTGTACCATACAAATATGATAATTTCTTCTTGAATACTACAATGGGATAAAAATTGGAAAGTATTATTTTCTTGCCCCTCCCTTTTCTTTTGCTTCTTCCTCCACACCTTTCTTTCTGCATATTGCTGGTACTCACCACCTCTTTTCTTTTTCCTTGTGGTTTATAGATAATCATGACGCAGTCCTAAGGTTTAATGGGGCACCCACAGCTGACTTCCAACAGGATGTGGGAACGAAAACCACCATTCGCCTGATGAACTCTCAGGTAAAATTTCTTATGTGTGGATAGGGTCGTTTTGAGGAATAAGTGAGAAAATCCATGCCAAGCACTAGGTACCTGGCACATACGTCAGTAAACATTAGCTACTCTAATATGTAAAAGTGCAGACACTGAGATGAGTGTGAGGATACAATAATAAGCAAAACAAACTTGGTCCTATTCTTGTGTTGCTAACAGATACAATCAAATAATCATACAAAGAAATTTAAAGTTTCAACAGCGAACTACAAAGGGGAGGGCCAAGGTGGCACCAGAGCCCATAAGGGAAATTTTCCTTAGGGAGGGAAGTCAGAAAAAAGCAACGAGGTAATGCTCAGCTGTGTAGAAAGAGAAGGAGAAAACAAGAAGAGTGAGATGAGCTTTTTAAGAAGAGGCAAAGCATAGGTAAGGTCACGTGTGGAAGGGAGCAGGAGTACAAGGGCCGAGGAAGAGATAAGTGTATGTAGGGGTACGTGTGGTGAGAGATGAGGCTGAAGGCAAGAAGGAGCCAAGCCATGGGGCTGCATTTAGTTTTCTTCTTTGTGGCATAACCAAATTTGCATTTTGTAAACATCCCTGGCTTCCATGTGATCAGAAGCCCTGCACTGGACGGAGAGACACAGTTTGGAGGCTTTTGCAGGGCTTGGATTAGAAATGGTGTTAGTTGCACCAGAATAGAAATGAAGATGTATGTGAGAAAGGACTGGATTTTGGAGCTATTTGGTAAGTGTAGTCAACAGGTTTTAGTTTGGGATTTAGTTTGGGATTGGATGTGGGAGGTGAAGGAAGAGAGGCCACAGGTGTAACTGGGTTTCTGGCTTGAGTAACTGGCTGGCTATAAGTCACTGAGACTGGAAGTACTTGAAGGTGTTTTGGGTTGTGAGGGCTAGGGTCAGCTAAGAGGGTAGAGATCAAAAATATGATTATGGATACAGTTGATCTGAGCTGCCTTTAGATATCTGTGAAGAGATGTCAAGTAGGGATCTTGAGGCAAATGACACTGGAGTTCCATGGAAAGTCTGAGCTGGAGATAAGAATTTGTGAATTGTCTATATCTGTGTGGCAATGAAACAGTGGGGCCAAATGAGAACACTAGGGAGAGAGTGCAGAGAGAAGAGGGGAGAAGTCCTATGCAGGGTCTTTAGGTAGCGAAGACAGTGGATGCTGCTAAGGGGCCAATTGAGATGAAGATTGAAAATAATTTTTTTCTCTTCAACAAGATAGAGGCCACTGGTGACCTTGACAACAGCTATTTGGGAGAGTGCTGAAGCCAAAGGCCAGATTGGAACGTATGGAGGAGTGACTGGGGAAGGAAAATGTGGACAGTTCTTTTAAGAAGTCTGGCTCTGGAGAGCAAGAGAGAAATAGAGCAATTGCAATAGAGAGTTGAAGGTTCCAGGGCCAGATTTTATTCTTTTCGGTTTTTAGATTGGAGAGAATTGAGTACGTTTAAAAGTCAATGGGAATTGACTTTTGATTTCTCCCTCAGCACTTTCTACATGACTGACTAATGTTTAAAAGTCAATGGAGAGAATTGAGTATGTTTAAAAGTCAATTCCCATTGACTTTTAAACATGCTCAAAAGTGCAAATATTGTATGATTCCACTTATATGAGATAAACGAAGTTGTTAATTTGTAGGGACAGAAAGTAGAATGGTGGTTTCAAGATTACCAAGTCAATGGGAATTGACTTTTAAACATACTCAAACGTGCAAATATTGTATGATTCCACTTATATGAGATAAACGAAGTTGTTAATTTGTAGGGACAGAAAGTAGAATGGTGGTTTCCAGGGCCTGAAGGGAGGGGAGAATTATCGTTTAATGGGCACAGAATTTCAGTTTGGGAAAATGAAAAAGTTCTGGGGATGGGTCATAGTGATGGCTGCACAACAGTGTAAATGCACTTAATACCACTGAGCCATGCACTTAAAAATGGTGAAAATAGCACATTTTATGTTATGTGTATTTTACCACAATAAAAAAAAGTTGAGGGGAAACCAGTTGATAGAGACATAAACTGAATATACTAAAAATAAGAGATAATAAGTAACTGAAGGGGGAAAGAGGGTTGATCCAAAGCCCAGGGGAAAATTAACCCCAGGAGGAGAGAGTCAGAAGGAAGAAGTATGGGAGGGGTATAGCTTGGGGCATTTTATAGTGGAAGCAAGAAGGGCTTCCATTTTCTCAGCAAAGTGGGTCATAAGGCCATGTTGGAGGGAGGCTGAGGGGGAGAGAAGTTTTAGTAGAGGAGCTTTAAGCCAAGAAGGTTTGAAATTGTCTTGGGAAGAATGGAAGAGGGAGTAAACCAATGGAATGGAGTAGGACTTCCAGGCGAGGCTGGCCGTGTTGAGATTGGGGAGCATGAATTCAGAGAGAAATCAAGCTCTGTTTGATCAGAAGTGGTACGATCTGCAGATCAGTAGGTGGCAGCAATGAAGAGAGGGAGCATAGAGGAGCTCTGAAAATTCTCTTGGGTTGGGGGGGCTACCACTTCTTGGGATCTCTTCATTGTGTTTAGTGAAAAACTAAATCACTTTCAATGCTGCAAAGATTCTGGAACTTTATTTAAAGCCAACATCAGGTTTTCTGGGAATTAATAGACAGACTTTGATCAGATTTCTCCCTCAGCACTTTCTACATGACTGACTAAATCAAGTTGCTTTATCTTTCTGAACCTTAGTTCCCTTATTTGTAAAAGGAGAATAAGAAAAGTTACCAAGCAGGGTCTTTGTGGGATGAAGTGAGATTACCAAGCACTGAGCATTTCACTCAGAGGCTGGTACATGTCAAGTGCTCTGTATATGGTGGTGATGGTCACTACTGAAGGTCAAAGGCCTGCCTGTATCTGTTGGCAAATCACTGTGCCTTCCCAATTCCCAGGCAAATGGGCCTGTT